ACACACAGAGACGCAGAGAGACAGAGAGAGAGAGAGAGAGAGAGAGAGAGAGAGAGAGAGAGAGAGAGAGAGAGACAGACAGACAGACAGACAGACAGACAGACAGACAGACAGAGACAGAGACAGAGACAGAGACAGACAGACAGAAAATTAACAGAAGATGTGCAGATAAATGGGGCAAATGCAGACAGATAGACGGACAAACTGACTGACAAGCAGACAGACAGACAGATAGAGACCGACCGAGAGGTAGACAGCAAAAAGGATGCTCCTACAGGCAAATAGATAGATACATAGATAGATAGATAGATGGATAGATAGGAAAAAAGAGGAGTTGGGAGGGGGGAAACAAACAGAAGAAAAACGAGGAGACGGACCTTGAGTCTGCGGCCGAGTTCCTTGTATAGCAAGAAGCCAGAGAACTCTGCCGTGCACGAGCGCTCCAGAAACTCGACGAAGATTTCTCTCGTCGCCCCTTGCAAGCTTTCCGCCGCTTCTTTGAACTCCTTGTTCCGCACGAAATGGGTCTGATTGTAATCTGTTTTGAACTCATTAAGGAGGGCGACGAATTCCTCATCCCTGTAATAGGGGTTGTTAACGGGGTCAAGCAAGGCCTCCATTTCGTCGAAATCGGTGGTGTAAAACCGAGGGGTCAAAAGCGACTCCTTGGAGGGGGGTTTAGCACCCGCCCTCATCTTCTCGCCGTCGGCCACGTCGACCTTGGTGGCAGCACGGGGGGAGACGAGAGCCAGTCGCCGGCTGCCACGTGTCATCACGTGAGCAGAGAGGCTTCCAAGACCAGGGGTGAAGGAGGAGGAGGAGGAGGAGGAGGACAGAGGCACGAGAGAAGAGCTGCATTTCGACAAAGAGGATGCCTTTGTCTGCATGGTGGCCGACGCCGCCGACGACGTCGATGCTACGGCCGCCATAGCCGCAGCAGCTACAGCCGATGACGTCACGGCCGCCATATCCGCTTTCTTCCTCTTCTTCTTCCTCTTCCTTCTCCCCTTCTTTTTCCCTGTCGTTCACACACGCTTCGCTGGCAAGCGGCGACCGCTCAATGCAAACCGAAGAAGCCCCTGTTCAACACCCGTGCACCCTCTCTCTCTTTCTCTCTTTCTCTCTCTATGTTTTCCCCCTTCCCGGTCCGCGCACCTTCGCATCACCTCTCTCTCTCTCTCTCTCTCTCTCTCTCTCTCTCTCTCTCTCTCTCTCTCTCTCTCTCTCTCTCTCTCTCCCTACCCCTATCTCTCCCTCCCTCCCGCTGCCTTTCTCCCCTCCCTCCTATCCTACTCTCTCCCTCCCTCCCGCTCCCTTTCTCACCTCCCTCCTATCCTACTCTCTCCCTCTCACTACCTGCCCACGATACGCAATTACTCTCGAGGTGAATGAAACTAATTGCCGTCAGATACACCCACAGGCGGCTGTAACTGCGGTCAGATACATCCAGAGAAGTTCTAGTGACACTAGTATGAATACGCTCTGACTGAGGGCACGCTCACACTAGGACTTTTTTACGCATTTTTGGACGGAATTGCGGTCAGATACATTAAGCTAAGGCCGTGAATGCGGTCATATACGTTTGAGATATTGCTAGTGTGAGTACGCTCTGACTGAGAGAGGATGAGGTGGGTTGAGGGTGGGGGGGGGGGCTGCGGAAAGGGGTATCCTTCCCGTCTCCTCGGTCTTTTTTTGTTTTCCCCTTTTTTTTTCTGACCGTCGATCCGCCTGATCGTCTGTCTCGACTGCACAATCGGGTATATGGGACCATGCGCCCAATCCCAATCCTCCCCCCCCGTCTCCCCCCCCCCTTCCCTTGTAATCCCCACCYCCCCCCTMCCCAACCCCTCTCGCCCCCAGGTTTCCCGCCATTGCCGCTCTATGGCCGTAGATATGGATATCTATTGAGCAGCGGACGGCCAGATCAGGGACAGCGTGGAACAGGCCTCGAGCGCGATCCCGACCCGTCACGCGAAAAACGACAAGAAGAGGCTGATCCGTTCAAAAACGAAAAGCCCAAAAAATCAAAATCGAGACGGAGAACACGCGGTGATGATTGGCTGGCGCCCGATTCCATACTCGTCCTGCAATCCCCTCAAAGCGGAGAGGAGAATTTATTATGGTTTTTATGAAATGAAATGTAACGCAGGAGACGGCAATCTGATCGCGCTTGCTCACCGTCGACTAGATCCCACTTACACGAATTAAGCGATATTGACCGTAGATAGGATAGCAAAGATCAACGGCCAGAATCGATTAATCCGTGCAAGTGGGACCTTGCCCCGTGATGAGGGACTGGAATTATAAGAAAAAAAAGAAAAAAAAAAGAAAAATCCTACTGAAAAAAAAAAGAAGTTCCTATTGTCTTCCCAACAGAACGCGACACTCTCCAGCCACTCCCCTCTGGCTGCCCGCTGTTAGCCTTAGCCTACCGCGGCTCGAACCAACCCAGTGCCCTAGTTGGGGCCCCAGCTAGTTTTCGACAGCATTCTCTTTTTTTTTCTTTTTTTTYTTTTTTTTTCTTTTTTTTTCTTTTTTTTTCTTTTTTTTCTTTTTTTTTCTTTTTTTTTTTCAGGGCGTACTCACGCTCGCAGTATCTCATTTGTGTCTGACCGCATTTACGGCCATACCTGGATGTATTGGCCGCAATTCCGTGCAGAAATACGTAAAAAAGTGAGTGTGCCCGCAGATACGACGTTGCCACATTGTGTCCATTCGATTTGAAACATAGCAATGGCCAAATTGTGGCCACGTCACGCCTTGACATGCACTCCATAACTACTGCCCCTACCGGTAGCAGAGGCCGAGAGGGGGACCCCAAGAGCCTACCTCAGTGGGTACACCCGTGAACTGTTGAAAATACAGACCTGTGTTCGAATCCAGGGCCGTGGTCCCACTAGCCAAGGGGATAGGATAGAAATCCTGAATCTGGCTCTGTTTTATGCAGACATACAGAAAAGCAGTTCTATCTCGACTTCCTGCTCCTGTCCTCAAACACGTCCTCATTCAGGCATTCAATCCGATGCTCTTTGCTAATGGGACCACGGCCCAGATGATGGAACTTGATGAGTAACGTTGTAAAACCAACTATTTCTGAATTGCCTGGGGCGGGTCAGCTTCAAGGCTGGGAAAAAAAGAAACAGAGGCAGAGAGGCGGCAGGTGGGTTCTGTTCAGGCACGGGGTCTGCGGGAGCAAGGTCCCACTCGCAAAGAGGATCGGATCAGGTGCCTGAATCTGGGGGCCCGGATCTGGACGTTTTCTGTGGCGAGGGGTAGACAATGGCCGATCGATCTGCTTTGCCTCATCTCTACTCAGAACCCGACCAGATGCAGGCACGTGATCCAGTCCTCCTTCCTATTGGGCCCAGCGGCCCAGGTGTGCAGTTCTGCTAACAACCTGGCCTCAGGGCATACTCACACTAGGACCTTTTTACTTATGTTTTGACCGAAATGGGGTACTCGCTCCACTATTCTATACTCTCGAAATTTCGAGAGTAAGGCCTGGCTCCACTCACTCCAGATAGGTGCTCTCGAAAACGCCCTTCGAGAGCTGTCAGAAAGCACTCTCGAAGGGCACTCTCCAAGTGTCTAGAGTCCCCAGCCTGCGACGACATGCTTTTCCAGTGTCCTCCCTGCGTACCCCCACTCCGACCATTTTTTATCGAGAGTGTGTCCCGACCATCGGAACAGGGCGGTGCTGTCTTTTAGCGCAGTCAGAGAGCTCGTCTCATTCCGCCACTGCATCTCGAGCAAACCCATCTAGAGTAAGTGGAGCCAATACTTTTTTTTCGAGAGTTTTGCACGTCTGACAGCTCTAGAAGGGCTCACGAAACTTTAGTGGAGCGAGACCCTGGGTCGCCCCTCTGATGATGATTTGGAGTATGGAGGAGGGTTGTCTATTCGTTGGCAACAGATTAAGGGCGCATAGGGTCACCCCTCCATTGCGTCGAGGCAAGGTGCTTCTAGGGGGGTCATACATATAAACTGTCCACACACCGGTATTCACAGATGCTCCATGGTGGGGAGCAGCGTCTGCTACGGGTCCACGCACATTACAAAAAAAGAAACATACACATAGCCTACGGGCATATATATACCTTCAATACCGGACACACACACGTACATAACCATAGGGCTGGGAGGAGGTCACGACCAACTAATAATAGGTGATTGCTTGAGAGGGCGTGAGTTAGACGGTCTACTTAGGGGCTAATAGGTGATTGCGTGAGCCTGGCGTCCGAAGTTCCCGTACGACGAGGCTCGTTCGACTACGCTTCCACCAGGGCTGGGTCACTAGCCCTGGTGCCTGTCACTTCTGTTCGGTCCAAGTTCCCCTCGATGGTATGGTAATGGTCCTGAGTGCTGGTCACACTGTAGTATAGTAGGAATAGGGGGTGCGCTAGAAGTATTAACGCGAGGATGGGATGGGAAGTAGCCTCGTCTCTTCAGGGCAACCATGGCAGACAGCTCCGGCGATCAATGTGAGCCTAGTAACTGGCCTCTACAACACATTGAGCTTAAAAAAAAAAAAAAAAAAAGGAATATCGACAGCAACGTGTTTAATATTCAGCTCTTTTTTTTTTCTTTGTTTTTCTTTTTGAGAAACCTTCATTACAAGGGTCCTGCTGGCGAGGGTGGTAAGAGCAGCCTCCTCCAGTAGGCCCCTGCAGGTTGATGGCTCCAATCTATTGGTGGGGTGGAAATGGTGTTCCAGCGTCCCATGCATACACAGACGATCATTGATTGTCACACTCGTCTGCCAAATGATAGGTGGCCTGAAAGGTAGATGTTTGAGATTATCTGTTGTAAGGCTGAAGCTTTGAGACTTTGAGGTGATGAATGAGAACAGGACGAGGTCGAGGGAGAGTAGGGACACGGAGAGGGAGGAAGATGAAAGGGGCGAGCTTCGAGCAAAACCGGGCTGGGTAGACCCGGAGGACAAGGTTGTGAGAAGAAAAGGCTAATAAGGGAGAGTATTCAGTTGTACTTGTGGAAGCAAAAAATGAGCAATACCCCGCTACTACTTGAGGGTTGGTTGGGAAAAGGTTATTCAGAGAAGATCCATGTGGGGCCTGGGCCTGCTGTTTACTAAGCTGCAGACACTGTGACGAACTGTTTTCTGTAAATGCGAGATTTTCTGCGTGATGATTCTTCGGGGGTTGATTAAGAGGGGCTGGCCCAATTACACGAATGCCCTCATCTGTTGGAAAAAGGGGTGGCCCCACGACGGTCGGTAGTTGATCGCGCCTTAGCGAGCGTGGAAAATAACTGTTGCCATAACTTCTTTCTTGTTCTGCTGTGAGTCTGGGTTATTTTTGCACGATCGTCGTGCGGGGGAATCTTTTCGAATTTTCAACCAGTGTCGAACCCACGCGGGTTCTCGAAATATCTTTTATCGAATTTCGTTTTGCAATTATAGAAATTTGGGTGCATCGTAATTTTGCCTGCAACTGCACGGTGCTTCTTGCTTGCGCACGCTCTGTCGCGCCGGGTATGCGCTTTGGTTCCTCCGCACCTTAATCTCAAGCATAACTGTACTTCTCTTCTTGGCAGAGCGCAAATGTAACTGTAATCTTCTCCTTAATATCTTCGTCGCGCCCCTGCGCTCGCATATTTTCCTCGATCTTATTGACCTAAACGATGCATGACTGGATCAATGCGTGGAGAGTAGCTACGTCCCCCATGCCGCGGCCCGGCCATGCAATCGTAGGCATTCCCTTCCTTCTCCTTTCCTCCCACTCAAGCACAATCCCGGGTATCTCGCATGGACGCTCATGCTATAAATTTGCAAGCGCAATTAACTCGCTCTCTAATCAACTTCGGAGTTAACATGGTCGAGAGGATTGGCTAATGGGCAGGAGCACAACGGTGAGTAGAGAGTTGGGCGATCTGACGGGCTGGTGCTGGGTATGCGGGGTTGACGTGTGGCCGCGAAGGACTGTGGCACACGGGCGAACCTGACTTGCATGTTCAGACTAAGCGGAGTGACAACTCTGTATAAGTGCGAGGCGACGGACTGCCCGCATCGGGGTGGAGTAGAAAGAAAGAACGAAAGAGAGAGAGAAACGAGTATGTGATGTGTATGAATGGTGCTTTTCTTCGATTCTTCTGAGTAATTTTGATGTATAGCGCGCGTCATCCTTTTTATTTGGATCAGTCATTCTGAGTCTCTCTCTTTCTGTGAATTGATGAGTGATTCTTTTCCCTGCTCTTTCCTCCTTCTGCTTGGTGACCAACTTGATTGATTAATTGCCTGCACCCAATCCATGTATGTTCTCTGACAAACCAGATGTTTTGGATGCATGAGTACTTTGTGTTTTCCTCATATGGATGAGCATGGAAGTTTATTAGATGTTTGTTTCACACTGAGCCTTATGTGCCGAAACTTGTAAAAATTCCCCGCCTCATCCAAGGGAGATCGTGGGCACACACGTGTACGCGTGGCCACATGAGGCCATCGTGTACCCGCATGTCTATAGGATCTGCCCCCGATCCGACTGCCGACCGAGCACTTCGAATGTATGGATTCTTAC